GAATGTCTATAACCACATTGTTAATGAGAGATAGGCTAGAAAATTGTGGGAGAAGATTGAATCTCTATATGTTTCCAAGTCGGGAAATAACAAATTATATTTGTTAAATCAATTCCTAAATTTGAGGTATCAAGAAGGGTCTTCTATCTTGGATCATCTTAATGAATTTCATGGGCTTCTTGATCAAATATCTAGAATAGGAATCAAGTTTGATGATGAACTTTTGAGGCTTCTTCTCCTATTGACTTTACCTAATTCTTGAGAAATATTTCTAGTTTCAATTACTAGTCTGCTTCTCCTTGCGTTATATCTTTGCAACTAGCAAAAAACGGTGTTCTTAATGAAAAGATGAGAAGGAAGATGCAGAGATCTTCGTCTCATTCAAAGGCTTTCTTTACTGAAAATAAAATTAGAAATTAGAAAAAAAAGTTTGAAAATAGAGAGAAAAGCAGGAGCAAGTCTCGGTCTAAATACAAAAATATGGAGTGTCATTACTTCTACAAGTCCGGTCACATCCAAAAGAATTATTTGTTGCGCAAAAGAGATGAAAAAAAAAAGGGAAAACAAAAAGAAAAAGATCTAGAAAATGATGATCTTGTTACCACTACGATAGGTAATGATCTCATTGTTCTTCATGATACTTGAGTTATTAATCATGTGTCTGATGAAAACTCGTGGATCTTTGATAGTGGTGCTACCTTACATGTTACACCAAGGAAGGAATTCTTCAAATCCTACACTTCTGGTGACTTTGAAATGTTACAAATGAGAAATAATGGTGCTTCAAAAGTAGTACAAATTGGTGATATATGTTTGACGACTAATATGGGTATGAAATCATTACTCAAAGGTGTTCGACATGCTAACTAATGTCGGTTTCAGTTTAATATCAGTTTACGTGATTGATGATACTGTTATGACAATCATTTATGTAATGGAAATGAGAGCTTGTTAAAGAAAATCTGATTGTGGTTAAAGGAGATAAAATGTCTAAACTATATTTGACAAAAAGCTTTGCTTTTTGGGGATATGGTATATGCCATGGATATGGATGCTTTCATTTTATGGCATCGGAGACTTAGTCGTATCAGTGAAAATGGGCTAAAGTGTTTGACTAAACGAAAAATGCTTGCAGGTTTGAAGAGTGCAGAATTGGGGAAGTGTTCTCACTATATGGTTGGTAAATAAACCAGAGCATCATTCAAAAAGCAATCTCCATCAAGGAAGCCAAAATGAGTGGAATTGGTGCATTTTGATATTTACGCCCGTTGAAGGTAAAATCTTTCGGTTTCTAACTTTTATGATGATTGTTCCAGAAAGATTTGTGTTTATACTTTAAAGACTAAAGACCAGAAACTTAACAAGTCTAAAGAATTTGAGAATTTGGTTGAACAAAAATCTGGCAAGAAGTTGAAATGTGTACGTACAGAAAATGATGGCGAGTATTGTGGGTCATTCGATGTTTATAGTAAGCAACAGAGTATCAGACATGAAAAGACACCCTCAAACTTCTCAGCTGAATGATTTCGCCAAGAGGATGAATAGAACTTTTATTGAAAGAGTTAGATGTTTGTTTTTTGAAGCAAATTAGATGTTTGTTTTTCGAAGCAAAATTTCCTAATCATTTTTGGGGTGAGGCATTGCACACGGTTTTGCATGTTATTAATTTGAGTCCAGCAGTTGCTTTAAATGCTGAAGTGCCAGATAAAATTTTGTTTGGTAAATCTGTCAAGTATGATCATCTGCGAATATATGGTTGCAAGGTTTTTGTGCATATTCCAAATGATGAAAGGTCCAAGTTGGATGGAGGACTAGGCAATGCATCTTCATCAGTTATGGGTAAGATAAATTTGGCTATAGGTTTTATGATCCTGTTGAGAAAAAACTTGTCAAAAGTTGTGATGTGAATTTTATAGAACACCAAAACATTGAAGATATTTACAACATGAAAAATGTTGTACCTAAGAAAGATACTATTCTGACTTACACCGATCCAGTGCGATTGCCGAGTCACGGTCAAGATGGCACATAACATGAAGCTCAAAATAATGAACAAGATGAGGATGAACTGAATGTTCTTGTTCATGCCGAAGAAAAGGATGTGATGTCACAAGATGAAAATTTTAAATTTGATCATCCCGAGTCGTCCTTAAACTCCACTCAGAAGGTCTTCTCGAAAAAGACTACCATCCGGAAGGTATCCATCTAATGAATGTGTTGCTTTAACTGATGTAGATGAATATGAGTGCTATTCAAAGGCAGTTAAAAGTGAAGAAAAACAAAAGTGGTTGGACGCGATGCACGATGAAATGAAATCTTTGCATGATAACACTTTTGACTTGGTGAAACTACCCAATGGAAGGAAGGTCTTGGAAAACATATGGATTTTCAGAAAAAAACATGAAAATCAATTTTCGTCGCTAAGACACAAAGCTAGACTAGTGGTGAAAGGCTTTAGACAGAGAAAAGACATTGATTTTTTAATGACATATCCTCAATAGTGAAAATGTCATCCATCAAAATAGTGTTGAGTCTCGCTACTACTCTTGATTTGGAGGTTGATCAAATGGATGTAAAAATTAATTTTCTGCACGGGGATCTTGAAGAAGAGATATATATTAAACAACCAGATGGTTTTCTTGTTAAAGGCAATGACGATCTTTTTCTGTAGGCTGAGAAAGAGCCTATATGGTTTGAATCAAGCTTTAAAACAGTGATTAGGGGTGTGCAAAATTATCGATTTTTTAGTTACCGATCGAATTAGAATTAAATTCAAAATTTAAATTTGCTAATTTGATAATTCGGATGATATTAAGATATTCCGAATGTAATATCTTTGAAATTAATTCGAATTTGGTTTTACTATTTTGAATTCGAATTTACCAATTTTGAAATTCAAATTATTATTTTATTTAAACTTATGTATACATATACTTATTTTTTTAAAAATTACTTTATATAACATCAATTCACCAAACATATAAACTTTAAAACATATTAAGAAAAATTATTTTTTCTATCTTCGAATCTCTCCTCCGACCTTCCCTTATGTGGCTCCGCCCCCAATCCAAATGTCTTGTCTCCGCACTATATATGCATGAATAAAGATCATTTCACATTTCTATCACCCTTAAAAACAAAATCTACAATTATCTTCTATGATGGGTCGTCGATGCTAAACTCTTACATAACTCAACCCAACTTCTATTATCTACTAAATTCAAATTCAATATTTTGTCTATCAATACATTCAAAACTCATTATTTTTTTTTATGAATTAGTTTATATTAATCATATATATCAAATAATGTTAATATTTTCTTACTTATCTATTTAAATGTCATGCTATTCATTAGTCGTGTAAAGTTGTTAACGTGCCCCTACATGCCCATTTTCTTTTAGGCAAAGATCAATAACATAAATCTAAACCTAACATTAATTTTATATATAATCTCTCTTATTAAAATGTTATAGGTTTTGTTATGTATTTGATAGTTTGGATTAGATAGATGTTGCATACTTTGTGAGTTTTTTGAATCGTTTAATGTGAAATCCTAGTATTGAACATTGGAATATTGTGAGGTTACTTAGATATTTATGTAGTACAAGTAACATATGGCTAAAATTCGAAAAATGTGCTGAAATGATAAAATAAGAAGCTATGTAGATTGTAACTATGCAAATAATAGATATAATAAAAAATATATAACATTTCATTTGTTTATTTTGTGTGACTCATGCATAAGTTTGAAAGCCCAACTACGATATATTATTGGTCTATCTACAACCAAATTAGAATATGGTATTATAACTAAGGTTTTGAAAGAAGTGTTAATGGCTAAAAAGTTTATTTTTTGAAATTAACGCACTGTGTGGCCGGTAATGTGATAATCCACTTGATCTGATAGTTATTGTGGAACCAATTATGCAAAAATATTATTTTACATGATAGAACCAAATATATATATATATATATTATACTTTATTTAATCTTTGAAATAGTTGCAAGATGTTTGATCAAATTTGAAAAAAATAATCTTAATTTAATTATGATGTGAAAACCAAATATTTGTCGATTTCTCTAAATTTCAATTGTGTCTTAATCTACTAAACTTTTATATCTATTAGTAGAAACTTTGTACTGTTTATATCTTAAAGTTTGTATAGCTACTTTGTATTTTTATATGAGTTTACTATAATAACTTTGTATTAAGAATTGTAAGAATAATAACGATTATGGTAATATATTCTCACTCCCAATTAAATTTTTCAATATAATGATAATGATCGACTAGAAACAAGGTGAAGATTGCTAGTATGTGTTTTTGACCGACCCACTTTCTATCTATTTCGAAGGATGTTTTGACTTTTCTTTTGCTATAACCAAAAATTTACATTGCCATGCGAGAAAGAAGGATATGCTCCTATACTTGTTTAAATTTCTTTATAGAATTATTTTTCTTTTATTATTATTTTCTATAAACTATTCTTATATGTTCATTTGTCGATCTTTTTAAGTTAATCGATTGTAAGTAGCCAGCTGAGAAATAAAAAACAAAATGAATATAAATAACTATTTAATTTGATATTTTTAAGATGAAAAATTTGGATAAGATTGTGATATCATAAACAAACTTTAAAGAAAGAAAACTTATATGGTTTGGAATCCAAGTGACGATATAAATAAAATTCTCAAAGCGTCGGGATAGAAAAAGAAATAGAGATGAAGAGCTATGTGTGCAAACATTTTAAAGCCTCAATGGCATCGATTCATATATGATTTCATCACTATTGGAAGTTGAAGTAAGAGACGAATTTCGATCTTTGTGGTGATTAATTAAGCAAAGCTTTTCTCTGTTTTTTTTTTTTTTTAATTAATATAGAGCTTTAAAAAAAGAAATTACATAAACATATATATCTTATATTAATGTATGAAGTGATTCAAAGATGATCGAGTATGCATGGATAAGTAATTATATTTGAGTTAGGAATTAAATTGTCTAAACGAAGCTGAGCCGTAGATCCAAAGTCGGATGATGATGATGATAATAATGTTGAAGATCGATTTGATCGTAACCACTGCCAATATTATTATTAGTATTATTGTTATTGCATGGGAAGGATGAAGAAATATTGTCGTCTCTGCACATCCTCGGCTTCTCCAAATGGTCAGTTCCTCTCAGTGGGAACAACTGCAACGTCTCCATCACTCTTTCTTCCTCTGAAATTGGAATTGGAATTGAAACTGAAACCAAACCCAAATCCAAATTAAAATCGAAATATAACTCGTAATATCACATGATCATCTATATACATACATACGCACATATATATATATATATAGAGAGAGAGTATCAACATGTTACGATATTTATAGGATTATTATAGTTGCATCACCTATATTTTTAGTATAAATATACAAAATATTTTATATAAATTGTAGTACATAATTTTTTTTTTATATGATTTCTACTTTCGTGTACACTATTAGAATTCATATACATATTTTTTTGTTAATAATGTAACACATTATATTTGATTGTTGATTTATTTTATTTGAATTTGATTACTTGATACTTTGTAAGAAAACATATGTATTTATATAGAAAATCATACAAATTAAATAATAAAAATTAGAAAAAAAAAAAAGAAGCAACAAATCCTAAAAAATTTGAATTAAAATTTGTTTTATGGGATACTTTAAATAAATAATAAAATTATGTATGTATCAAATAAAAATAAATACATAATATAATATTCTTTAAAGAAACTAAAAATTGCAGAAAACCCTAGAAATAAAATAAAGAGATGGAGGGCTTACTATTAGTAATTGTAGTAGTAGGGTTGCCGGAGTGGTGGTGGCGGTGGTGGTTGTCGTCGGTGGTGGCGGCGGCGGTGGCAGCGGGGGAGACCAAAACACCGCGGCGGCGGCGTTTTTGCCTTTCGCGGGCCTTGTGATTTTGGAACCAATAAAAGACATTTTTGCTCTCGATCTTGCCATAGAAGCTGAGCTGGGAGGATATTTTCTGGATTTGATCTGTCGTCGGAGTTCGCAGCCCTGACCGGAAAAGCTCCGTCAGAACCTTAACTTGCTCGCTCGTCGGATTCCACCGCCCGCACTTCGTCCCCGTGCCGCCACTGCCACCGCCGTGCGACGATGCTCTCATGCAAAATCCACCATAATCTTCCATTCTTGATTTCAATTTTTTTTTTTTTTTTTAGGGTTTTTAGGGTTTTGTGGAATTGAATTGGACTGAAAATCGATTATGTTCTTGTCTGAACAATAAGTTTGTTCTAAGAGAGTTGTTATTTATAGGGAAGTTGTGGTAGTAGTTAAAGGACAAAGATGATTGTCACAACATCCTTTTTTTATTATTTTTTAGACAATATATGATCACTTTATTTCTAACATTATATATTTTATTATTTGATCGTTTTCAATTTTGAGGATTGATTGAATAATTTTAATTTATATGAGCGATATTATTTTATTGTCGGCACAATAGTGGATCAATTAGGTGTATAAATTATTAAGGGGTTGCTTGTATATTGTATGTATGTATTTATTTTAGGTTTGGGGTTTGTTGTAATGTAATTTTAGAGAATTTTTGAAATGATGTGTCTTTTCATATTTGAGATTGATTTTTGAATTTAAATTTTCTTTAAATATTATTTTAATGTAATTTTTGTGTGAGAAAATATTATCTTTTTATTGAGAATAATATCCACTGAATAGTATTGATTTTGATTTATGATCAAAACCAAACAAACATATGATTTAATTAATTTCTGGCCAAAACTTAACAAGGAGTTGATTAAATATTGCAATCAGGTTATATAGAATAATAAAAAAAAATGGATTGAAATAGTATTTATGACCAAAATTTAATTTTTAATAATAAATTGCATAGAAAATATTAATTTAATTTAATAGTTGTAAAAGAGAAAAATGATAAATAATATGAGACCACATGCAAACATTGAAAAACAGTCACTTTGTGTTTTTAGTGATACAAATTTTATAAATATTATGAAAAAAATATAATATATACCCATATTGATATAACACAAAAATATATTTTATCAATTTGCAAAAGATTAAGAATTTCATAGAAAATATTATTTTTTTATATTACCGATATAATTTCTTATATCCAGCGCAAGAATACATCATTAAGAAACACACCAATGGCACCCATAGTTTCATGTAAGATACTCCCTCCGTCCCAGATACCGTGTCTACTACACTATAGACACGGTATTTTAGAAGGGGTGTAATTATTAGATAATTAAGAATGTATTAGTGAAAATAATTATCCTATAATATAAATAATTATAAATTAAAATTAAGATAACTAATTAGTTTATTTAAAATTTAAAAAAATAAACTTAAAAAATTTAAAATGAGATTAAAGTGTGTAATCATTTTCCAAAAAAGAAAGTGACATGGTATGTGGAACGGACAGAAACGGCAACATGAACATTGTATCTGAGACCGGGGAGTATTAAATTTACAAATTATAGTTATTTTTATTTTATTTTATTTATTTAATTATTTTTTATGTACAAATTATAGTTATTAATAAAATAAATTGTGGGGTAAATTGTAATATGATTGAATATATTAAAAGTGATTATTATGTAATATGTTTGGAGTGGTAATTGACGAATAAAGTATTGGGAATGTGAAAATATCGTGCATTGATTTTAGGGGATGAAGTGGGAGAAGTTTGAGGAATTTGGATTATTTTAATTTTGATTAATTAAGATTTAATAATAGAGAGGATTGTTTGTTTGTATTATTATTATTATTATTAATTTGGTGGCCTGGTTTTTTGTGAGGAGACTCATTATTTTATTTTATTTTATTTATATTTATTTCATTTCATAATTATAAATTAAATAATTAATAAAATATATAAATAGTGATAGACATCCACAAAAGCTGCCACTGTTCAAAGTTTAGGGCCACGAGCAGACAAATGCCTCACTAACTAAGTCCTAGGATGTCTACATCTATATCTATATTGTCTTTAAATTTCAATTAATTTAACAGGTTCCCTTTGAATAATTTATTTATTTATTTATTTTTTGAAGTTCTCAAAAACCAAATTAAAATAATAAAATTTAATATTTAACGTTTTATAAGAAAAAATAAATATTTAATTTAATATTTTTTTAAAATAAAAATATTATGATAAGTACTATTAAAACTTCTAAAAGTATATATAACTATAGTGATTGAATTACAGATTTACTTGTGAGGTTTTCTGTCTGAGTTTCGATTTTGAATAGTAAAAATTTTGAATTGAAATAATTATTTGATATGATATAAATATGCATTGATGTGATATTTTGAATGTAAAATTATATTTTAGTTTAATAAAATAAATAAATATTTAATGTTTGATTTGATGTTTAAAAAAAAATTGAAATAATAAAATCAATGTTTAGTGAAAATATATTTGTTTAAGGTGAAAAAGTAAAATTTCCTTGGGATTTAATGGGTTTAAGGTATATAGTGTAAGATAGAATTTTGGTAAATAAAAAATGAATTAATTAAGTGGAACAATCCTAAATAGTAAATGAGGCAATATAAGTGGAATGAAGCAAGTATATTTTTATAAAATATATATATATTATTGTACAAAAAAAAATATGAAAAAGAACTTATAAGGCTAAATTGATTCAAAAATTTAGAATAAAAATCATGCAAATTACAATGTGGGTTTCTTTAGATATATCACATTACAATATTATATTAACATTTATTATTATTGAAAAATTCAAAGATATTTTAAATCACTGAAACAGTTATGGGACTAAAAAAATAGTTTACCTATGTTACTATGTTATTGCTAGTTTCCTACTCAAATATTTCAAGTTATCTATAAATAAATAAATAAATTTAGGACTATGTATGCATATATAAGTAGTTACATTATTTAATTTTTTTTTTAAACGATGTGTTTGTTTTGGAATTTAAATTTTGGGTTGGGATTTAAATAATAAAAATTTTGAATTAGAACAGTTGTATAATATGATATAAATGAATGTTGATATGATATTTTAAAAATAAAATTAATTTTTAATATAATAAAATATATATATATATTTAATTTGATTTGATATTTTTGGTGAGAAAAGATTTTATGAATAGTATAAATTCAGAAAAATCTACCAAACGAACATACCCTTAGTGTTAGGTTACATGTATTTCAAATTAATTCATCCATTCATTAGTTTCATTTGACAAGATGATAATGTAAATTTCAAATGCGTTCATATAATATTTCAAATACAACGCACTTATGAAATAAAATTGACATAACATACTAATATTTTATACAACAATATATATTATCTGATATATTTATGTGTAACATTTATAGTATTTTATATGTCTATTTGGACAATCAACGTAATACTGATAAATCTTATACTTCCTTTGTTCTACCTACCATGTTCATATTGTCGTTTTTGGAAAATGATTATACACTTTAATATTATTTTAAACTATTTAATTTAATTTTTTTTAATTTTAATTAAACTAATTAGTTATATTAACGTTAAATCTATAATTATTTATATTATAGAATAATTATTTTCACTAATATATTTTTAATTATCTACTAATAACACTTATCTTGAATTCTCTTGTCTACGGTGACCCAAACATCCAACGTGAGACGGACGGAGTAATATCAAAAAATTCATCCAACGGCTCTGAAAGAATTAAATAAGGAAAGAGACAACATGTAACGAAATTACAGAAAAGTGAGGTTAGGTTGGCAGACAGAAAGTGAAGCATCATCAGTTCTTCATCAACCATTATTGTCTGCCTCTTTTTTTCTTCATTTTTTTTTTTTTTAAAAGAAAGTTATGGTGTTTTATTTGTTTATTTATTTTTTATTCTGATTATTATTACTTTATAGTTTGTTTGGTATGGTATGTAAAAATAAAATCGAAATATCGAATAGAAAAAACAAAAAATTAAAAAAAAAAATTATTTTTGTAACCTTCTAAAGTTTCTAAGTAATACTTTTTCTCTCCGTCTCTAAGGTCACATTAACTTTTCGCGTCATTGTACTTAACATTAAAAATATTTTTATATTTGTATAATTTTTTTGTACAAATATCCTTATATTAGTATTATAAGACACTGATGAAAGTATTTTTGCAATTTTTTCTTAATTTGTACTACGTTTTGATATAATAATTAATATTAAAATATCAACACGCAAAAAGTAAATGAGACTCTTAGAGCCGGACGGAGGTAGTATCATATTACTAGTAATTAGACAATACATCTTATATATATATAACTTTGATATATTGTATTACGATGAGAAATTAGTAAAATAAATGTAGTGCCAATAAAAAACTTAATCATCACCAAATATAGATATATATATATTGTTATCGCGTTGATTAATCTTAATCAGCTAATGAACAACTACTTCTCGACGCATGATTGGAATTAGATAACCATATATGGTGCAAATTATTGCCATTTGATGTCAATTCGCATCATGCATTTGTATTAATCGTTTGTTGAAATCAATCATGAGATGTAGTGCATAGTATTATTACGTGCTGTCAATTCATACCATATATTTGTATTATGCCAGCATACATTTTCTACTGTATTTAATTGTGATGTGTTGTTGTGGACTATTATAGCTAATATAAATTAGCTTTAATCAGCACTCTAACCGTCGATTTATACTTATATATATGCATATAATATGTATAAGTTGCAAGAATTGTAGAACTAAAATGTACTTACGATATTACAATGGATGAAGCATGGTTAAATAAAAGTCAAAAAGTTGAGATTGTTTGATCCCAGTTGGAGTGTTGTGTAATAATAATAATAATAATAATAATAATAATAATAATAATAATAACAACAACTGACAAACTCATATGTCAGTCATATTTATTGACCAAAAAATTAAATTAAATTTAAGAAAGAAACACACACTCAAAACAGAAATTAATAATAAGTAAGTTTGAAACAAAAAAGACATTCCTCCTTTTAAGGGAATTGAGACAGAAACTAGAGGACATAAAAAGCCTCCAGTTTGATGAGATTTGAGATTTTATTTATAAAACTATATAATATAAAATATGCAACAAACAACATTTGACCATCTAAAAGGGAGACCAAATTGGCTTTTCTTGTGTC